TCGTCCACTAATAATTGCCCAATAGGATAATTCTAGAACCTTGAGGTGATATGCTAGGTAGATATGATCTGGTCCATTGTATCAATTAGAGAGATACCCTATTTTATTATCGTGGTACTCAAAATATTTATTTTAGATATGTCATTTGGTGAATAGCGCCAATATGGTGTCTTTATCATGTTAAGAACAATAGGTAGAGATAGGGGCTAATTATGGGTAACTATAAATCAATAATGATGTAAAATATCACTCCATAGATTATACCCTAAATTTATAGATAAAATAAAATAGTTTGAATGTACCTATATTATTATAGAATATTCTAACTATAATAGATAGTTTATTATAGTACGTCTAATATATGGGTATCACATTGTTATAATGATAACCATATGTTTAGAATGGAGATTATATGGGAAATAACTAAAACTAGTATCTAATAAAGATAAACATCACATGTGATACCCATAGTTATTCCTCTATGAGTATAATGAGTATTAGTTAATAAATATCACAGGGGCTACTCCCTATGGTGGAGAGAGTTCATTAATCACAAGAATTTAACCATTGTCATATTGGAAATGATTAATATAGGGCTAATAATCATGTTTAGGGCTAATATTGTTATCTATCATAGTCCATAATATAAGACCCTAAGCGATTCTAACATATGAACAACTGACCCTCTATATCATTAAAATTGTTTTCCAATCTTGAGTAATATATGTTCACGTCTAAGGGAATTCCATATATTTAAGTAATGGGTATATCATTTTAAAGTGTATATTATAAATGATAATATAGAGTTATTTGAGTTAGGTCATATTTACGTACCTTAAATAACCCATTACAAAATGAATAAAATATCATTCTTTACGCAATTGAATATAACGTAATTACTCTATTTATATAGAGTGTGTATAAACTCACCTTGGTGAGAATTCCATATTCTTAATTTAATTCCTATATATAATCCATTTAAATAACCTTATGATGGATGTGCCTCTAAGGTCTCCATAATGTAATTTGCTAAAAACTCAATAGCGTATTCCCTTTAAACGGGGACCATATAAATTCGGGATTATCTAATGTTAAAGGTTCAATGGGCTATATCAACGTAAATATTTACCAAATCATATCTACTAGATGAAAGTACAAAATATAATGAGGGGTCCTTTATTGATAGCAATTTATCAAATTCCATCGATTACTAATCCAATTAAGAGCAATGAACCAATTTTTGATGCCTCATTAATATATTCCTAGAACATTGATACATTAAATGTTACCTAGGATTTTTGTACAATGATTTGGGATATATGGGATTCATTGGAGTTTTTAAGAGGTATAGAGATGGACTAACCAATTGTGATTATCATATTATAATCCCTCTCATTGTTTTTCGTCTACTTATATCGATCCTAGGTCATATTGTCGGATAGGAACCATGTTTGTTAATTGATAACTTTACCGAGTTCATTATCCGGACAATAGATTACTATTCCATACTTATAAGGATAACCATTTTATTAGGTTATCTAAATGAAATACAAATTGCAACGAGTTAATCATGTTTGCCATGAATAGGTATAAATCATAAGTGGACTAATCATATCACTTATTGAAAATCATATCTAAAATCATTTGGTAGATATAATTCCCCACTCTTTGTCTAACAAAAGGGATGCCCTAGTAACTCTTGCCTCCTTGTAGTTTAGTCCACTTAGGTGGAATTATCATCAACCTAGATGATTGACATACCTGTCTAACATAGATGTCCCTAAATATCTTATGATATGCACATTATACCCATTAGTTGATGCTAAATATATAATTATATTAGACAAGTATGTTAGTCATTCATGGTATTAAGACATATCCTCTTATAATGTGATCTACATATAATCCCAAGATGAACAGGCTATTTTTACTATTACCTGCTAGTGATATAGTTAATTCGGGTAGATGAGACGATATGGGATAACAGTGGTTGTCACAACCTTAGCCATGCATGGGCTAATTAGGTTAGTTAATTGGCATAGTCAAATAGGGAAATCTACATTATTTTATGATTGTATACTATGTAGAAAGGAAAGATTGGTTGGCCATATCTCTACCGTTGCAAAAATAGTAATATTCATTGAATTTAGTATATCATCTTATGTTACACTCCACATAAATAGGAAATCAATAGAGATATGGGGTTAATCACATTTAATAAGGTATCCCCTTATCCACTAAAGAATATCCTAATGCTTATGATTGACATATAATGCTCAAACTATTAGTATAGATTATGCCAATATTCTAGTGACAAAGGTGTTCGATGGTGGCCTCTTTAGCGGATGAATTCATATTACCGTTTTAATGTCTTTATTCCTAAGATATTAATGGGACCATGCCATGAGGGGAGATCGGGTCCTCTATTATTAGATATAGCCTCACCATGTGAGTTTCTATTCACTCGATATGTATTTCCCCAATAAACTAATACTTTTGATATCATTATTATAGTAGGTTATAATTAGGGTTATAAGATATGGAGCATATGATATATGTACGATGGTAATTATATTTGAAAATTTTATCATAACCCCCTTAAACAGGGACCATATGAATTCAGGACTACTCTTATTATCTTTTCTTAGTTAGAGTATATCCTATAATTACTAGTTTTAGGGTTCGGGATAGTTATCCTTTAAATAGGTATAATACCATTATCTAATGTACATAAACATAAAAAAGGATGTATATTAGGCTATTATTTTCATGAAGGTCATTAATATTATCCTTTGAGATGGGCTATAATATTATCCTTAGAGATGGGCTATATGGATAGTACACCAATCCATGATGGCCACTTAAATGATGGTAATATCATCCATGGTATTGGACATTCAAAGCACCCCATATCTATATTAAAATATAGTTATTACCCCTCTCTCCCTCCTATATGTTTCATGAGTGACGGTTGATAAGATGTATATAAAAATATATAATATTCTCTCTTATCCCCTACTCTTGTCGAGGCTATCTTAATGTTTATATTATCAATACAAGTAATCCATACATAAACATCCCTATTGATGTTTACGTATATTAAATAATGGTATTATAGGAGATGCATGTGTTAACGAATCAATGTAAGGCATAGTGCACTAACCAATTATCGCACCATCAAATTTCAAGAAAATAGTTTATCATAAACTAATATGATAATATTGTATTAAAATCACCTTTTGATGGTCCTCATGACATTTTAAACTTTATATAACTTAATAAACATTTATCTTATGATTTAGGAATGGTAAATATTAGTTATATTATACTCTCTATTCACTTAGAAAATAACTATATGGATAATAGGATGATGACATTCGCGGTATGAATTGGTTTAAAATACACTTGTCTAAGGAATTAACATGTTATAACCATTTAATAGGCAACTAATATGAAAAAAAAGAATTCACTATAATTTATAAAGAGAATAATATATTTATGGTACCCTTCCTTATTTAAATATAGTTATGGTAAACAACGAAATATGATTTATGTTCATATTTAGCCCAAACAATATACATTTGGTAACAAGGGAGGGTACCTATTCTCCAATATATTCAATGAGTACAAGAAAAATAAGAGTTTATAGTATTTAAGAAAATCATTAACTACCCTATTGATGTGTAGGACTCCTCTAAATCATTATCCACAATGTTACGAGCTTTAGTACAATCATATCGTGTTTTGCATCGGATAGGTTGATGTTAAAAATACACTAGTGACATAATACACACCATAAATAAGTAATATTAGTCCTCAATTATGGCTTACCAATTACGATATATGCTAGATTATTAGGGATAAAGTTATTGCCTCATATCCACAATATCACTCCAATCGAAGGTTCGCATATCATAATCCCCTAACTATCAAATAGGTAACAAACTAATAAACATATCATGATGCCTAGAATAAGGATTAATTTAATTGATTCCATGTTGATATAGCCTAGTAACCCAACCCAAAATATTATCAAATGTTAATGAACCTTTCTTAATTAATATTGAACATTTATGGTTAGTATATCATTTATATTTTGTTTGCCATATTGCTCGACATTACCCACTCTTGTGTATCAATTGATAATTTTTGTTCAAAGATATTAAATAATTTTATCCTTGGTATACATGGATATATAACTCTAACCGATGAATTACTCTTATCTAAATTTTCCTAATTGGAGAGAATGATAGAGAGGGTAACGTTGTATATTATTAGATAGAAAAATCATGGTCTATGGCTATTAGAGGAACTCAATATATTAAGTTGATATATTAAAATGCTAATGTATATGGTCTAAGAACATTGTGAAATTTTCCTATTTCGAAGCTATTTCATAAAGATATGTATGGAAGTTAATTCATATTTTTACTCATTCATTGATAGAGGGTGGGTAACATCCTAAACATCCCTCCTAAAAAAGATGCTCTAATGTGTAATATCCCTTGTAGCTTGAATAGGCTTATTGAAGCCATCTACCATTGGTTAGGTAGATTGGTCGAATGCAAACTCCATTGTGGAATATCTATATAATTAACCTTATTTGGAAGATAGGGTTAATTATAGTAAAAGACATATATACAGTAGATATATTATGATATAACACTCCAAAGTGAATATTGATGAACATCTTTTTGTAGTTTTCATTCATGTACCATAAATTCATCTTATAAACCCTCATTTCACGTGTGAGTTATAATATTAACTAACGTGTGATAATGGAACGACAGAGTTTATTGGAGAGAGGGCTAGATTATTGAATTTAATTCCATAATTAAGCTCTCTATACTAACTTTTATGTCCTTTATGTCCTTTATATTACAACTAAGTATTAAACATCCTATTAAATTAGGACCAAAAATATATTCTAATGATATATACATACCCTCCTACATTATGTTAATCTTATTAGGAGAGTACACTAGGAAAATGTTATATACTCATTATACCCACTTACATCATTAACAATACAGTTTAGATATAATTGGGTACTTATTAATAAGGTCACCTCACTCTTCTATAGAGATAATAAGTTTGTCAAATAAATAGGTCAATTTATAATACGACATAGTATATTGACTTTTATGCTATTAATGATACCTACTATTTTGGATGAACATCTCCTATAATGTTGTAAGATTATCTTGGCATATTATTAATATATGGTAAGGGAGAGTGAATAGATCGACTTAAATAATTCCAATAGTTATCTCCCATGCATATACACCGTAAAGGAGGATTAGGTAAAATATATTCCCTCCCGAGCTTATGGGACTATTGTTGGTAATAAAGGGTTTATAAAGGATGGTCTAATTATTAGATAAATTTTTCCATCTAAGAAATTCCAATTAGCTATAAAACCTCTAGGTTTAGATAATCTCGAGTAATACCAGTTAACTATAGTATGTTTCTATTAGGATATTTTAATTTAGTGGGCTTAAAATTAGGTGGTTATGAGATATTCTTTAGTAATTAATATTCAACCCTATTTTTTGGATTGTAAGGAAAATTCTATCGAGGGGGTATAAATATTTGAGAAGATGATAGATCAATCCCACTAAGTTCTGAATGATATAGGAAATCGGTATGTCCATAGAAGGAATATAAGAATCATCAACTATTACTATTATTGACTACGCCAACAGAAGACCACATGGACTATAGGCTAGTGCTGCCAATATGTTTATGGTGAAACAATTATTTGGACACCATTAATATTCCTTTGCCAATAAGTGATAATTTTTATCACCATTGCATGAGTGATAATCATACCCATTACTTTCCCGCTATTAATATTACTCCTTAATCATTTGATATAAATATCACCATCACTATATGGTGGACTCGTATTGATAATTGTTTGTAAGTGCTATTAGTGAACATAAGGACTTTATACCTAATTATCTAGCTCATAAGAATATAACCTAATGACCTTTATACACAATACAAGTTCATATAAATAAGTACCTTATGAATAACATACCCATTGGGCGTACCCCAACTATCAATATAACCCATAGCTATTAGGTTGTTGTTACCATTTATAAAGTTCCAATGGTTAATGGACCTAGTGTATAATTACCTCATTGGATCCCTATCCTTTTTATTTGTTAATGGATATTATAACTAGCCTTCCTAGAGAGCTTTTTATAATGGGATAGGTTTGTTATTCATAATATTATTTATTCTTGTAGAGGGAACCTAGTATACTTATTGTGCTTTATAGAGATGATACATTCCTAGAGAGGCTCGATAAGTAGAGAGAGCAAAATATCCTAATAGCATGGATGTGGATATTTATCATGGGAATAAATGCAATGAATGTTAACAATAATACAGGGGAAAAATCCTAATAGGTTTGTATCATCATATGGTATTAGAATATCTCACCATCGGTTAATGACTAACCAATTATGAAGCGACTTAACTTATTATTGTCAAAAGACCCCAAGGTAGAATAACCTTTTATTATTCTGATACAACCCTTAATAGGGGATATGTGCCATATCACCCTTCTAATTTAACTACAGGAAAGGATTATCCCTTGATGCTATCTAGTAGTCAATGGTTGGCTTGATAATTGGAATGAGGGTATTAGGGCCATTTTTATTCTACCTTTGGGGTTAACTTGGTAAATCTATCCATATGGGTGATAGATTTACGAGGAGTGAAAGAGGAAATAGGCGTAATAGATACCATTTCTATTTCTAATAAAAACTTATTCTATTATTTGATAATTGCACTCCTAAAAATAACAATGATATCAATAGGTTCTATATAAAGATACACAAATCGATTTTTTTAGTGTTATCATAGGTAATAGCTTATGATTACTTTTCGATTCCCATTTTAGGTGATGACTTAATGTCCTTATAGCATATCCAATTATAATTTAATATGAAAATGTTAGAGATGAAGATTCTTGATGTGTTACCCACCCTGTTCAAATAGAGAAGGTGAACTAATCTCTCTTCCCTATGTGATATCACCCATTGAAAAGGTTTCATTATCATCGTGAAACATATAGAGGTTATTTATCAAATATCCTAATGTCTAAACAGATAAGGTTGATTAGGGAGAGAGGTATCCTCGTATGACATGGTAGCCTCTAAGTATTAAATACCATCCATGCTTTGATATATTAAATGGATGGCCATATGGATACTATACATTGACCCACATACAATTTAAGGATAGTATAAATAACCAATATTATGTCTTCATATTAATAAACAATTAAGGATTATCTTGGTTATAATCACTATAGGGATTATCAATCCCTCTCTTCTAAGCTTCACAAGGAATATTCATCTAGCAGGAGAGAGAATGTTATCTCTTTAGAGTGTATGACTTAGGTGACAGGAGAAATAATCTCTTTAGAGTGTATGAGAGTGTTTGATATATTCCTTTAACAAATGCATTTGAGAAAGAGTGGCTATGATTCACATGTATAAATTTATCTAATACAAAAGCTCTATATTTCTATCTAGTCCAAACACTAGAAACGTCCCTATAACAAGAGTATAGCCCATAGTATGGATATCCTATGGGAGAATAGGACACGAGTTGGTACCGATCCAATATAAGTTTATATTGGACAAAATCAAACTATTAACTATCATGCTCTAATATACTTTTTCACCATATTATGAATAATATATTACTATTGGTATATCGGGATCACCTACTTATAAGGGAGATCATAATTTACCCGATATAATGGATACTCGCTTATATAACCAAAATCCTCCTCCGATCCATTTTTATAATGCATGTCGGTGAGTTTTTTTTTCCTAAATTGGGTATTTTTTATCTATTTTTTAAAATAAGATACTTTAAATCTTATTTATAAAAAAAGGATAGTTTTTCCATATAGACATCCATGTCATCTTTTTTAATTAAGTATTATATAATATATTTAATACAATAATTTAAAAAAATTAGAAACATGGGTAGCTGACAATGAAGGCACTCCAATCGAGTTAGTTCTAGAATTCAAGAACTAGCCATAGCTTAAGATGTAAAACAAATAAAAAAACTAAACCAAACTATTAGATGCCTAAATGCAACAAAAATTTAATCAAGCCTAAAACGTTAGATGGAAAACAAAAAGGTTCCTAATAGCCGTGTAGGCCTAAAGCAATTCCCAAACCACCCCACTTTTCATTTAAATGCTTAAGCATTGAAGATATTTTTTTCTAAGCACTTAAAGTGAGTTCCAAATATGGATGATACCCATCCTATAGATCAAATTTAACATTTAAATACATAATAATTTAGAAATATCTCTAATCATTTCCAACATTCAATTGACTTTCACCTTTTCCTATCCCACACGAGTGCCTTCATTAATTGGAAAAAGCTCGCCTTTATCTTCACAGGCATTTGCTCCGATCTAAGCAATTATTTGCATTGTCCACTAACCCAGAAGATAGAAAAAAAAAATTTCCACTTTTCCTAATTAATAATTAAAATCGATTTTACACTTAAAAATACTATTACAAATCAACCAAAGAAAAAAAAACGAAAAAAAAAACATGGTAGTTTAGGACCATGGAACGATCCTTTTGTTCGATGACTAGACAAGTTCTATGAAAGAGAATAGCTTGGACTTAGTGTTCATGAGTGGTCAAAGATTAGTCTAAAGGAAGGGGTGAGTCCCATGCTTTCAAGAAATGGAATATTTAGGAGAGTTCATCTTCATGATTTTTGAAGACTGGTGGTGCTTCAAGGACTCGGACTTTAGGGAGAAAGTTTTGATCATGGTTTTAATGCCCTTTAAGATGCTAATTAAACTTTTTTGTTACATATGATATTTCTAAGGGATTGGTGGGCTCTTCTTATAGTTGCTATTGAAGGCATAAGAACTAGAAGTAAAAGAACATGAGATAGAGAGAAGATAGTAGCTCCTATGTGGCATAGAGTAACTTATTATGAGAAATAAGTTTAAAACTACCTTATTATGAGAAATAAGATTAAAAAAATATCCTATTATGAAAACAAAACCTTGCATATCAATACCTACATTTTCAATCTATTTCAAATATTATATATTCTCAAAAAAGTATTAATCCCCTCTCCTCGAGTGTTATTGGTATTAAGTGATCCCTCCACATGATCACCCTTATTGTTCCATGCTCACATTAATATTAGGATCTCTCTTAAGATTAGCATTTATGTGTTATATATTATCAAACTAGACAATTCTAACCCCTATACATATTCATATGGTGACTATAAATAGAATAGTCATTTCCTGTGTATGAGATCGGATGATAACCATACTAGTATCAATTTAGATAGTCTACTATATAAGGTAGGATTATTCAATCATATCTTATGATTATCCTCCAACATATTAACCATTACACAAATAGAGCAAATTATACTTGATGGTATATTATCATGAGCTATCAAATTACACCTATTATTGTGAGTTAGACATAGTACCTAACTCACAATATACTAATAATATGTACCTATTAGGGCTATAGATAAAGTATGGTTTGTATACTTGATAAGCTATAGCAAGGTTTATTTTAGATCATAGCAAATTTGAATGACCTCTTATAACATAGAAGTAAATATTGACACTTTTAGTGTACTTTGAATGGCAAACCAATTCTTGGTGTGACCAATATGATAATTGGTAGAGCTACCCATATCTTATAACCCTTATAATAACCTAGTTATGATACCGTTTATTAGAAGGTATTGGTTATCTTATTATGTTTATCATTAAGATATATCAATTTCTAGAATTGAGGAAAGATATAAATTAGGATAATGGTCAATATGACTTGGCTATTGAGGAACATTCTAATAGGTTTGTGCCTATTAGTACATGTAATATGCTTATTAGTGAATATGGTATAATTATACTACCGGATATACCCGAATGGATATACTCGAATATAGAGAAAGGGATAATTGTATCCACTTATATCATATGGTATAATTGATCATATATTTAGTAAATGATAGTAAACATTTATTATATTCATTGTAAAACCTTTCTTAGCCTAGGTTGTTCTTACATTATCATTAGTTGGTAGATATTATAACGACCTATTAAAGCTATTTGAATATAAGAGAGGTGTACTATAAGTTACATTAGTAAATTATACTTGCCATACGGGAATAGTAATGTAAATTATAGTTAGTGATAACTATTAGGTTATAGGGATATCCCTATATAAGGGTATTAACTCGGAGGTATGATACATAAGTATAATAAGAACAAAAAAAAAAAAAAAAAAACATGTGTAAGTATATATGCATCCTATAGAGTGTCCAAATTATAATACTTGTTAATTAATAAAGTATTATTAACCAATTAATATTCTCCCTCTTTTAATTAATATCTTTACTCGGATGTCTACGATCTATACTAAATATCTAAAATTATTAGTTTATTAATTCCTAATAATGATATAGAAAGGATAGTTACATCGTTGAATAGATTGGAGAATAGGATAATATGATTAACCCAATAATGGATTTCTACATGTATGTTTAACAAATCAGTAAACCATTAGTATCCCTATATGGAGTATACCAATACCCGATTAGTTTAGTAATTGGTAGATAACCTTTTATAATTATCCATATGTCTAGTGGTATAACTCAAGGTGTCCCTCGATACAATAGCTTATATCATTAATATAGATTGCCTATAAACAATCTTCAACTATATTACTCCGCTAATATTTATACCCTTTAACCTATTATTCTCAAAAATAGTGATTACGTTATTATAAAATAAGGGGAGAGCTAATCTAATCCCTTGATTGACATTTTGGGCTATAGGGTCCACTATAGAATAATTGGTTACATTCCAATATAAAGCCATCTAATAGTATTAGGGTACAGAGATATATCTACCAACTTAAACATTAATGCCAATGAATATAATGTAATCTATTAATATGGTATCAAGGGTTATAGCCTTAAGAGAAATGGGTAATTCATATTGAATTGAGAAAAGATATGAAAAGTATAATTTTATGATTAATGGAGAAATCCTCTAATAATATACTTTTCTCTAATATTAATATTTTCCGATAGACCATCGGGAGGCGCATTCTAGCTTATAATGATGGGTCATTTCTTCTATTGTTAATCTATGGCAAATGTGATGAGAATAGGCCATCAAATCATACGAAACTCGATGTGGGAGGATAATTATTAACCATAACTATAATCATATCTCGATACCTCTATTAATCCCTAATTTAGGATAACCCAATAAGATTATTCTTAAATTCTCTAATTGTCAAATTGGGTCCCCTTGTTATTAATGCACATATCAATGTGACAAAAAAATAAATATAACCAACGTCAACTAGGATTGGTCCCTATCATAATTATTCTAGTCGATAATATTGAATCCGTTAATGAGAAATCCCTAGCAAACTATGATTTTATTTTGGACATATACCTTACAATAATTTAGCATTTGCTTATTAGTAATTAATAGTCATAACAAATATATCGTCAATAGGACCTATTAGGATTTTGGGAATGAATACTCTTATATATTTACACATCAACCTAAATATTTACCGTGTTAGGGAGAGGTATCTTGTTCATAGACAAAAATAACTTCCTAATAGGATAATTCTAGAACCTTGAGGTTATATGCTCGGTAGATATGATCCGGCCCATAATAACCTAATTCATTGATAATATTTGTCCATAACCGGGTTAGATAAATTCATTGATAATTTTGGTCGTTATAAGAGAAATCTACTCTATCGGTTGATTAATGTCTAGGTGTTTTACAACTCTCTTTGATAGTCACATGATTATATTGCATACCATATAGGATAGATATGTTAGACAAAGTACTCGTTATCTTCCTAATAGCATATTATCATACTCGTAATGAACTTACTCTAATTTAAGGGTATCTCTTTACGATCAGTTAAGGCTTTTATATATCTTTACTCTAATTGGATATGGCCATTTTTTGATGTCACCCTTTTGGACAATTAATAGAATATTAACCTATTTTCAAACCATTGTAAGAGTTTCGACCACTACTTACCTATTATTTAAGATTTCCTAACATAGATTTACCATGTTACAAACATTGTGTTAGGCTCCTTTCTCCGTCTCCTTCTCCCTCTCCCTCCCATTCTTACTATATGAAGGGTTTGAAAGAATTTGGTCTCCTTGTCCCCTAGCAAACGAATTGCTCATATATTCAAACTATTCATAGGAATCTATGTTTGAACCATAATTTATAGCCCTAACTTGCAATTATGCTTATATAACTAATTATTTTTGTAAGATTGGTTATGATTTAATAGGTTAGTAGGAGTCCATAAATTATGGTATGTGAATATATCACTATAGTATGATGATTGTTATATGGACACACAATATTTCCCAATTGGGTAGTCCATCTTTATCCCTCTTGATTGCCTTATTTAACATGTATATGCAAAATTAGATAAGAGTATATCTCCTTTATATCAAATCATTTATACTTAGAAGTAAAGTTAAAGATTTTTTGATAATATAAGTATCACCAGGATTGCTATATTGAATCCACCATGCCCTCTCGTCTACTTTCTTTTTATGGATAATTATTCCCTAGTGTTAATAGGAGAAAAATCATGGTCTACAATTTTTAAATTTCTCTATTAGGCTAAATTCACTATGATGATATCCTAAAAATGGCCCTTAGAAAATGGGGATCCATTAGATAAGGAATAAATAACCTCTCTATTGTCAAGCCGGAAGGGTGTGCCCACGAGAAATATTTTATACCTATCTTTAGATCAAGATTGTTCTTCTCCCCGGCTATCCACTATTGAATCACTCGTCTCCAATATAATTGAGTTATCAATATAGAATATTCCATTATAAGGTAAAATGCCCTTATAGAGTAAGATTATCCAAGTTAATCTTACAATAATTAGTGATCATTAATTAATAAGGTCACCTCACTCTTCTATAGAGATAATAAGTTTGTAGAACAAATAGGTCACTATTGATACTTTATATATATTATAAAAGGAGCAAGTTAAATTAATACCCTTGACATGAATTACCTTACTTAGATAATTAATACGCTAAGCAATTTTGATAATCTTTGACTCTCTTCATGATCAATGTTTAAGGTATTTACTATAGGGAGATGGAACATAATTAGCAAATCTTATTTGTAATAAGGGGCAAGTTCACCACTATAAACCAAATAAGAGTGGTATTGATATTTTAGATGATAAGTATAAAATATAAAATCAGTTTAAATTCACGTTGTACATACTATTGGGATAAATTTCATATTGGACTACTCTTTTCTTAGTTAGAGTATACCTTATAAATAGGTAATAATTATAGAACATTTGTTGCGGGCTCTCCTAGAGCTCTCAATCTATTAAGTTGATACACCCCTCCTATATATGTATCCATATAGTAATTTACACTGCCTATCCAATAGGCTATCTAAACTATCTACTATAATAATGTTATACTAGAATTATAACATCCTTATCATAATCCCGAGTAATGGACAAGTTATTAAAATAAAGTGGGCCATTATTGTCACAATTTCTATTTACCAACCCTTACCTTGAGTAGGAGTTGATATTTTAATGGTTAACTTTATTATGGTGATATAATAAAGGTCATTACCCTTATAAACTACCATCTTTCAATAAGCAAACATTAACGGGCCAATCTAAGATGATTGGCAATTGATAGTCTCAACTTATATTATAGCCTACTATGGCCCCGAATTATAGTCTCTTAGTGGGTTCCCATATCATTTGTTTATATCCCTCTATATTGAAATATGGAATAATAATCAAATTTGGTTCATTAATCTATAAAGAGGTCTTAAAATACTATTATACACCAGTGATAACATTAAGTTTGATATTTTCACTATTAGTAATCAACCTAATATTCAATCAACCTAATAGTCAATCTTTAAGATTATATTAAATGTATGATAGCATTAATATAATTTGATTACTCTATTCATATGAGGATAAATTAGAAAACATTATAGTTGATGACAATCGATAATTTGAGTTATTTTTAAAGATTGAGTATTAGGTTAAACGGGCGTAATCAAGATAACTAGTGAACACCAAAATTGATAATCCCATTGTAGTGGTTAGGTGTAATTATAATGGATATTACTATATTATCATCTATTACCTATTTTATAATGGCTAGAGGAACATCACTCGTTTATGGATTATAATCTTTGATAAATATACTTCCATTTATGAGTTTGCCTAAATACTTTTTAGGGGTCTATTGTTATTATAAAATATACCTACTATTGTCATTAGGGGTAATAGCCCTTCTATTACTCAAGTATACTATTTATTTCCAATTTGAAGTAATTCTCATCAAATCACTATAATAGTTCAACCCATTATAATAGTTTAATTACATTTAGTACAAACCAATACTTAGTTAATAAGGAATAACTAATCCTAATATGGGACTCAATTAATAGTCATAATAATGCCATGATATCCTAATGAAATCATTAGATAGGTAACATGAGAGGGAGCCTCCACTAAGATTACAATGAAATAGAATATCCCTAAGAAATTATATACTCAAGTTATTACTATGGATCGAGGCGGACGAGATAAGCATCTATTAAGTGTACATCAATAAATTATAAATGTGTAAGATACCCTATAAATGAATCGGGGAGATATTTTCCATAATGTTCAACCACTACGTAAATGGTAATTAATACATAGTCCTTTATGTGGAAAATATAGACTCTTAGTTTAGTTACCATATCCCTAGGCTAAGATATGGAATAACTCTAAGTCAAGGTGCCTTATGGAGAATAACTTAACCGAATAACGTTTTCATGAGTATCCTTCATTAGACACTTATTAACGAAGTGACTACTTTTATGGCCCTATCACAACCCTAGTTTGGGCTTAATATTGAAAAGTATATTGTTAGAGGACATAACAATCCTTACTAACAGTTATGATAAGTGACTTATTAAGTATACTATTTATGCAAAAAAATATTGGATTAAATTTTAGGAATTACCACTTAGTATTGAACACCTATAATATCCCTTTTGAAAACTATTAATAGAATGACCTAGTCACAACCAATCCTTGTTGTAATAGTAGCTATATATTTAATAGCTACATTTACCATTTTAGAGTAATAGGGTATGCCACTCGCATTTACACCATATTGATTTTAACATTAGGATATTTGATAAATAACCTTTATTTGTTTCACGATGATAATGGTGATATCACGGAGGCTATTTCACCCATTAGTACTTATCAAGTTTTTAGGTCATTCTCCCCCTTTTATACCTACCCCTCTCTCCCCACTCTTGCAATCTTTTCCTAGTTACATAACCTATGATAGTTAAAGTATCTCTAGGTTATGTAACTAGGAAAAGGGGGAAGAGGGGTGACTATTAATAAAATGTATAAATGGTTAACTATAATACGGATTTATGATATTACCAACAAAAAATAATCCGATGGCTACAATCCATGAAGACCCTCCCGGTCAATATGCTATTATTGATTGTTATCTCTAATAGTGGATAATGATCCTGGTTGCCTAACAAGTTGATATGTGGACGACCAATATAGAGAAATATTAGTAAACTAGAATGCTCTTCCCAATGGTCTATTAGAAAATAGTGATATTAGAGAAAAGGATATTGTTAGAGGACTTCTCCATAAATCATAAAATTATACTTTGCATATCTTTCCTCAATTGAATATGAATACCCATTTCTCCTATGGCTATAACCATCGATAACTATATTATAGCGAGGGCAACCGACGGTATGCTTAGGGATAGCCTAAGCATACCATTGGTTGCCCTTGCTATAATATAGGTAAACCTATCTTTATGAAATAAAGATGGTATTTATCCTAATATTATTGTATTATCAACAATGTATATAAGTGGATTCAATATAGGATGTTAGAGAGGGATAACCTACTTAATTTCACAAGGATATTATTTATGTTAATATAGATTTCCAATCCGATGATTTAACTTGGATAAAAGTGGGAGGTAATGGTTCGCAAAACATATAGAGGGATAATATGATTAAATCACATGTAATTTAGTTATTGGAGTTATATTCCACGACTTATGATAGGTTTATTCTCTATGGAAGAATAACAATAGTCCAAGGATTGTAGGTGTATCCCTCTCTAAAATGGGCACTAGTATTATCACTAGTGTAGTGGTAATTGGAACAAACATCATGGCTCCTTATTACCATAAATATCGTTTGTGATTATTATATCAATCCTAGGTCTATTCAACCCAAGTACAATTTTAGTATAGTATCCAATAAGTTTATTATGCACTAGGTTTACTCGTGCATATTAAGGATAGATATCTCACTATAAGGTATTTATGGTAAAAATTTCTTTACTCAATAAACATATCTCCCTTAGGTGATATTGGAACCATATAGCCTACTCAATAACATATTTACAACACTAAAAGCATATAACATCAACCGGCCTTCAAATCATATGGGTTTTATCACTAGAATTAGCATAATAAGATGTGTCCTAACTTAGATGCAATCAGGTCCATCCTTAATTTATTTCCTAAGGGTTACACCCTTAATATTAACTTAGAGAATCATGCCATAATAAGAGATATAGGACATTATATATAGAGGGTATTTATAGGTAACCTTTGATGTTGCTACTCGAAAGTGTAATTTTTCAGCCTTATATTTCTAGGACTTTAACATGTCCTTTATATATATCTACAAGTATAGTGTGACTAGAATTCTTGGTAATACAATGGATAAGAACTAGAGAGTACAAGTAATTATCAAACTACTATAGTAGAGTTCTTGTAACTAATAAACTCTACAAGTAGAGTTTATCTCTAAACTAGTTGCATTCTAACAAACTATTTCCTTGCAGCAGACTTTATCTCTTCCATGTGTGGTGTTGTGGATCTTTTGTTAATACTCGCCCATAAACCGACTAGGGATGAGTTCTAATAATGAGTTTATCCCTCAATAATTCAAAATAGGCGGTGGATAAAGGTTTGGTTAAAATATCTACAATCCGATCCCGTGTGGAAATGAACTTTACTTACAAGCTCCCTCTTGCAACTATGTCTCTAATGAAGTGAAAATTAATTTCCATATGTTTAGTTCTTGCATGGAACACTAGG